CCCCCGCCCGCAGCCCGGGTTTGCAAAGGCCGGAAACGCGACGTGCGTGTGTGTGGGGTTCGGAAAGGAAGCGTCGGGGCTCGCGGGGTGGTGGTGTGTGTTGGGGGGGTGATGTGGGCGTGTGCGGGGTGGGGGGAGCGGTCCGGAGCCCCCCCGGGGCGCGGCCTGCGTGCGGGGCGGGGGGGCGCGGGGGTCTCGGCGACGCACAGGCAACTTTCCGGGCAGGAAGGGGTGTGTGCGCGCGTGCGTGCGTGTGTGCGCGCGCGCGCGCGTGTGTGTGTGTGTGTGTGTGTGTGTGTGCGCGCGCGCGCGTGCGCAGTGCCGGGAGCCGGGCTAGTCCCGACCTCTTCTCTCTTTTTAAACAATGCCCCCCCCCCCCTTCTCAGCCCGGCGACCTCGGTCGGGGTCCGCTCGCCGATCCGCGGAAGCCCGGCCTGTGCCCGGGGGCAGTCCGCTCAAGTCCACGCCGGCGCCCGCGCGCGCGCCCTACTATTGTCCCCTTTGTACGCGCCGTGTCAAACTTTTCAGCCGGGCTCCTGCGGCTTCTGGCCGTCTCCTCCCCCTGCCCTCCCTTCCCCTCCTCTCCCCTCCCTCTCCCCCTTCCTCCCCTCCCTCGGGCTTCGCTCTTCCCGGCCCTCGCCGCCCGCGCGCCCGCACCCCCCCCCCCCCCCCGCCCGCGCGCGCGTTGAGCGAAGGGTCCGGGTGGAAGGTGGGTCCCCGCTCCGGGCCGCGCCCCTGCTTTGGCCCGGGCCTCGCTGGGCTCCGGGATCCGCGGGATCCGAGCCGCGGGGCCGGCTGTCGGGGTGCCCCGCCCCGGCCGGGGGCGGTCTCGGTGTGCCCGGGGGTCAGATCGCCCGGCCGGGCCGAGTGGGAGGGTTTGGGGAGGCAATCCCCCCCCCCCAGGGGACCTGCGGTTCTTTGTCCCTCTGAGTGAGCGCGGATCTCCGCGCCCGACTGCGCGCCCCGGGGCTGACCGGCCGGCGGGGGCGGGGCGGGGGGCCGAGTGGAGGGGGGAGGCTGGCATCGCCCTCCCCTCCCCACCCTCGCCCCCTCCCGCCCTGCTCGCCCCGGAACAATGGAGCCCAGTGTGGCCGCGTCCGCCCTGTGCGCCCTGCGCCCGGCCTCAGCCTGAGGCTCCTTCCGGGCCTTGGTCGCCCCCGGGGCCCCCTCTGTCCAGCCCCACTGACCCCCCCCCCCTCCGCACTGGCTCCCAGGCCGTCCCGCCCGGCTGGGGGAGGCCATGGGGCCGGCTGGGGACTCTCACCCCGTTTCCAGATGAGACTCGGGGACACTGGGAAACTTGGCAACCTTGCTACGTCCTGACCCCCGAGGCCAGCGCCCGCCACCTGCCCACCTGCCAGACTCAGGGGCCTGGCACGGGGGGGGGGGGCGTATGGGGGAGAGGAGAGCCAGCAAGCAGCAGGCTGACCTCGTCCCAGACAGCTGAAGCGTGCATCAGGGGAGAGGGGTGCCCAGCGGGTCCGAGGCCCTGGTTCCATTCCTGGGACTCAGCCTTTCTTTCCCCCAGAATCCCAGGCCCCGCCCAGCAGGGGTCCCACACAGCCTCAGGCCCCCCTCTGTCAAGTGAGTAAACCGCCCAGTCCTGTCTGCCGGCCTGGCCTGGAGCCGGGAGGCCCTGCACCCACTGCACCCCCCCCTCCCGGTGCCCCTGCCCTGAGAGAGCCCCCCCCCCCCCCCCCCCCCCCCGCCTGGGCTGGGGGTGTCCAGCTGTGGCCCTCCCCAGGCACAAACCCAGGAGAGACAGGACACCCCGATTCTGTAGAAGGAGCTTAAGGCAGGTGATGGCTTCGCTTAGGAATAAAACATCCAACAACTTGGAATGGAGCCCTCCCCGCTCCTCCCCGCCCCCTGCACCCCCGTCCCCATCTCGCCTTCTAGGAAAGGGGCCAGGGCCCCAAGGGTGCTCACCCCACGAGGGGGTTGGAAAGGCCAGAGACTGGTTTGCTCTGCGGAGTCCCCAGAACCTTCTAGCCGCAGCTGGAGTGGGGGGTGGGGTTATGGAAAATTCCCAGCCCCTTCTCTGTTCTGGGTGAACGCTGTGACATCCCCCTCCCCTGGGGACAGCGGGAGGGCGTGGCTTCCTCAGCCCCTCCCTCCCCAGGCTCTGGCTTGGCACCTGTCAGAACCGAGGGGCTGCTCAGGGGAAGGGGTGCCCTCCCGCCAGCCTGTGGGTGCGTGTGTCCTGTGTGCACACCCAGCCCCGTAGACACACCTGTGCAGGCATGCCTCACACACGTGTGCATCCAGCCCTGAACTCACGACCCGCCAGGGCGGTGACACTTACTCAGAACTGGTTGCACTCTGGGGGTCCATGCTGGGCCCGGCCCTAGAGCCTCCCGCAGGCCCCACCGGCAGGGTGGGGTGGCTGGGCCCCCCCCCCCCCCCAGCCCTGAGTGTGTGGCCCCAGCAGCCTCCTGGCCCGTGGAGCTGGGTTGTTTTCACAGCCAGACTCTGACCTGCTGAGCCTGCAGACACCGCGGCCATTCATGCCTCCTGCCCCGCCCCCCTGGGGCTGCTGCCCCGGCTGGCCAGCTGCGTCCACCACTGCCAGGGAGGCTGGCTCTCCCAGGACCCCCCCCCCCCCCCATTCCTTGACTGCCTGTTTCTTCTGTATTCTCAGCCAGACCCCATGCAGCCAAGGTTGTGGCGAGGGATGTAAGTGTGACATAAGTAGACTCCCGCTTCACCCCTGAGGGATGGGTGGGGGCACCGGAGGGCAGTGGGGGGTGCGTGGGCAGCTCTGTGTAGGGCCCTGAGAGCAGCGGATGATGCAACAGGGCTCACTTCCTGCTTCTCACATCACCCTGTGCGCTGCGTGGTCATGTGACCCTGACCCCAGGGCCATTGCACAGGCCCGGGACAGCCTCCCTCCGCATTCCAAATGACTCAATGTTCCCAGCCCCAGCCGCACTCAACACCTTCATTCAGGCTGCCTGCCCGCTTGCTTGTCACACACTTCTGCTAGCTTTGTGTGCTTGTTTTTGGTGGTGGCACTGGGGCTTGAACTCAGGGCCAGGATTGTGCTGGTAAGGCAGGTGCTAGGGCACGGGAGCCATTCATCTCCCATCCCTTTATTCCTTGTGTTCTGGATAAGGCCTGGGACTGAGGCCCCGCCTCCCTTAGCTCCCTTAGGCTGGGATGAGGGGCGTGCGCTCCCACACCCACCTCTCAGCAGGCTCTGGACGCGTTCACAGTTTGCTCTCTGGTGCCAGGCTCAGCCCTGCATCTCCAGGGCCACACGGACCTGATTCTGGTACCGGCACACACTGACCGGCTGAGTGACTTCATGGTGACTATTAAATGGACAGTCAGAGCTGACAGTTAGTGGGTGGATGGTCCGCCCAGGGCTTGGCATGTATTATTGTGGTTCAGCTTCATGGTGATTGAGTAGAGTCGGGAGTACTGTAATCCCCACTGACTAGAAGCAGACGTGGAAGCCCCGAGAAGTTAGGCAACTTACTGAAGATCACACAGCTGGTTGGAAAGAAAAACAAAAACAAACCAAGAGGCTCCAGTTAGGAGGAGGCCATGGTGGTCTCTGCCGCCATCCTGGAAGGACCTGGGTTCTTTTCCTCTCCTTCTCTGGGATAGCTTCCTTCCAAGAACTCTGGGAACTGGAACATTCTAGCACTCTATGACCTGTTCATGCTGGGGGGGGCCTAGACCGCCAGCCCAGCAGCTGGGGCCTCTCCGAGGTGGGGGCCTCCCTGGACTCGCGGTCCTGCCCGGCTGCAGCAGCAGCTAAGAAGAGGGTCAGGAGGTAGCTATGTGACTTCCTGCAGGAGGCCACGGCCGCCTTCCCCCGCGGGAGGGGGCTGCCGGGTAGGGGGGACCGAGTGGAGGAGATAGGGAGGAGAGGGGTGCCCTTTCCCCCACTGCCCGAGGCCCTGGACCATACAGCAGGAAGGCTTGCCGGGTCATCTAGTGAAAACTTGGACCCCGGGGCCTCGGAGTTAGTGACTTACCCAAAAGGGCGAATGGGCGTTCAGGCCCGTGGAAGGCGGCAGGGCTGGGGGTGGATTTTGCAAAAAGTATCCAGGAATAGACTTTTACTTTTTCCCACTGACTTCGGGATGTGTCAAAGACAGCTTGGAGCTGGGCCTGGTGGTACACGCCTGTAATCCTAGCGGCTCGAGCGGCAGAGATCAGGAGGATCTCAGTTCAGGCTTGGCCCCTGGTCAAAAACCAAAACCAAACAATGTGATACCCTATCTTGGAAAACAAAGCAACAATAAAAAAGCAAAAGAAAAGGCTGGAGGCTTGGCCCAAGTGGTAAATCATCATGCTTAGTTCATGTGAGGCCCTGAGTTCAAACCCTGTATGCCTTCCCCACCCCACCCCCCAAAGAGAGCTCAGATTTACGTCTGCATGTGACATTGCCCCTGCCCCTCTGTCCTGGGACAGTCAGCCTTCTCCCCTGGGCGTGTATCCCTCATCAGAGGCTTAGCAACTCTCACTTGGCTGGCCCCTTCTCAGACGGGGAAACTGAGTCAGGGACAGGGAAAGGCTTAGCCCAGGGCTGGATACCCGGGCTGCGTTGCTTCCCTGTTTAACCTTGGCTGTGGTGGCCAGATCCCCAGTGTGTCCCAGGTCACCAAGGGATGGGGCGTGGGGCTGGCCGGCTGGGCCACTCCTGGAGGCCCTCTTAAGAGTATATGGGTTTTGGAAGTTTCTAGAAGCACTCACTGGCCGCGGTGCCCTCTTTTACCCATTGCTTTCCTCATGGTGGCTGGTTCCTGGCCTTGGTGTCTAGCATTCAAGTCTCTGCCTCCCCGCCTCCCCCGCCCCGGAGCGTGCTCTGTCATCTCTATGTCAGAGCGTGGGATATAGAGGGGACTCTTGCGGTCTTGCCTTGGGGCCACCTGCTTTTGGGGGAGGGGGTAGGGTATGAACTCAACGGTCTCATGTTTTGCTCTACTTGTTTGTTCTGCTGGTGCTCTACCATTTGAGGCACGCCTCCAGCTTTGCCTTTTGCTGGCTATTTTGGCGATGGAGTGAAGACTTTGCTACCTAGGCTGGCCTTGAACCTCAGTCCTCCAGATCTTCAGCTGCCCCCTGAGTAGCTAGGAGTGCAGGCGTGACCCCTGGTGCTCATCAGCTCATTCACCTTGCCATCTTGTTGCACCACTGTGCTAGAAGGAGGCTGGCGACTGCCGGAGGAGCCCAGAGCCGGTGCCTGAGCTGGTAGGGCGAGGCTCCAAGCCAGGTCCCCTGTTTTCTCCAGCCGGAGCTGAGCCCGGGAGGCGGAGTGCTGGTCAGCGCGGCGTGACGCTGCCCCGCTCCCTTCTCTCCAGGTCAGCCATGTCATCTGAGCCTCCCCCGCCGCCACAGCCCCCCACGCATCAGGCCCCGGTCGGGCTGCTGGACACTCCTCGGGGCCGGGACCGGTCACCTTCTCCACATCGGGGCAACGTGGTCCCCAGCCCTCTGCCCACCCGCCGGACCAGGACCTTCTCCGCGTGAGTCTGAGAGGGAGGCAGGCCAGGAGGGAGACTGGGAAGGAGGCCAGGAGGGAGGCTCAGAGGTCCGCTAGCTCAGCTCCCTGCCCCCACATGGGAAACAGGCCTGGGAAAGCGTGCCGGGCTAGGCTCTGCAGAGGCTGACTGCTGTCAGTCTGCCCAGATGGATGCCTCCCACGCCTGCCGCGCACAAGCCAGCCAGCACCCCCCAGGGCTCAACCGCGAGCAGGGCGGGGTGCCACGGGTTTGCCCCAGCAAGAGTAGGTGGCTTGGCTTGGCCCGGCGCCGGTGGCTCACGCCTGTCATCCTAGCTACTCAGGAGGCTGAGATCTGAGGATCGAGGTTCAAAGCCAGCCTGGGCAGGAAAGTCCGTGAGACTCTCATCTCCATTGAACCACCAGAAAACCGGAAGTGGCGCTGTGGCTCCAGTGGTAGAGCGCTCGCCTTCAGCTGAAGAGCTGAGGGACAGCGCCCAGGCCCAGAGTTCAAGCCCCATGACCGACCAAAAATAAAAAGAGTGGGAGTCTGTGCCACAAGCTTGCCCGTTGCCCCTTCCCCGCTCTGTGGCAGGACGGTGCGGGCATCCCAGGGCCCTGTCTACAAAGGAGTCTGCAAGTGCTTCTGCAGGTCCAAGGGCCATGGCTTCATCACCCCAGCTGACGGCGGCCCCGACATCTTCCTGCACATCTCTGAGTGAGTCGGCGGTGGCAGGGCTGGGCGGGGACAGTGAGTGGTCACTCTGCTGCATGTCCATGTGCCTGGGCATCACGTGGGCAGACATAAGGTAGCTGGGGCTGATGGGAGCTGGGGTGGGGTCTGGATAGTCCTGTACAGCCCTGTCTGTCTCAACTGCCTGGCGTGGCCGTGTATGTGGGGGGGGGACACCACCCTGGTGTCCGTGGTAGACAGTATCTGTGTGCTCTGCCTTGGGCTGTGGGTCCACTTCCGGTGTCCCTCGGTGGGAGGCAGTCTGTGGAGGCAGGGATGCCAGTTCCTCGGCTCCAGGAAGGAAGTTTGGGGCTGGACCCTCGCTGTCATTACTTCACTGATTTCCTTCCTGAGTGTCTGGAATCCTCAGGGAGCTGGGCTGCGGCGGCCTGTGTGTCCTTGGGCTTGGAAGGAACCAGCAGCTTCTGGATCTCAGCCTCTCCTCAGTAGCTAGGATTCCAGACACCCTGTGGTCTTGAAACTGTTCATTCCCTGCTCTGCCTCCCGAGTAGCTGGGGTTACAGGCGTGTCCCGCCACGCCTGGCTCTGACAGGAACTTTCTTGGGGAGCTCAGGGGCGGAGATACAGTCCCCTAGGACTCTTGGGGACAGGGGCTAGTTATCCACCTCGCTTCCCTGGGTCTTCCTCTCATGGGGCCACGGGTTCCACAGGTACAGTCAAGGTGTGAACACCCACTGGGGGTCCCCGGCCAAGGAGCCAGTGAGGCAGAGCCGTGGCGCCCCGTTGGAAGGGCCGGAATGGCTGCTCCTTGCAAACGGCTCCGGTCAGCCAGCTGCGCGCCTATCCCGGCCAGTGGGGGGCTGGCGACTTGGGGTGGATGCTGTGGGGCTTTCCTGGATGGGCTCTGACTGTTCTTTGTAAACTCCCCCCCCCCTGCAGTGTGGAAGGGGAGTACGTCCCGGTGGAAGGCGACGAGGTCACCTATAAGATGTGCTCCATCCCACCCAAGAACGAGAAGCTGCAGGCTGTAGAGGTGGTCATCACTCACCTGGCACCGGGCACCAAGCATGAGACGTGGTCGGGGCATGTCGTCAGCAACTAGGGGACCCGCACGACCCTTCTCCCGGGTTTGGGGGAGACTTTGGGGGGAGGAGGAGGCAGGGCTACCCCGGCCATGACGACAATTCTATCATGCGATGGGGCTTCCAGTTGGGACGCGGCATTCCTGGAGGAGGAGAGGGGAATGGGGGAGGGTAGGCATGGGGGGTGGAGAGGGGCTTGGCGGCCACCAGCACAGCCTCCCGTCATCGCAACACGCTCTCCCCACCTGAAAAGCATTAAAAGCATTTAAAAAGGAGAGGCGCCCCCTGGTGGCTGAGTGGAAGGGCCACCCTGCTCCCCCTAGCTCTGGGGTGGGTCCCTGGTAGTATTTTCCTAGCTGTTGGGCTCAGCCCGCCCATCCCCTCCTGTAATTGGAGATTCAAAATCCTCAGGCCTGTGGCCTACTGAGACTTCCCCGGGGAAATTCCTCGCGCCCCCCCCCCCCCCCCCCCCCGGGCTGTCTTTGGAAGGAGGGGCTTGGCTTTCAGTGCCTTTGTGGTAGTGTCACTGCCATCTGGGACAAGTGTTCCCACAGGAGCGGATTCCCATCCTCCCCACCATCCCCCCCATCCCTGGGGCTAATCGCTACTTTCTCTGAAACTTTGTCCCTTCGCTGTCTAGTTTCTGGACACCTGCAGTTGTCCCAGGCCCGCCCATTCAGGTGGGGATGGAGATGGGTGCAGGGCGGCATTCTGGGAAAGGGAGGTCTTTTGTTTAAACACAGAACTTTTCTCTGGCGGGCATGGTGATTCATTTGTGTTAATTCCAGCACTTGGGAGGCTGAGGCTGGAGGACCGGATGTTTAAAGGCCAAGCTGGGATACACTGATCTTGTCTCAGAAAAACAAGGGTTTGGGGGTGTGGTTCAGTGGAAGAGTGTTGCTGAATATTCCAGAAGCCCTGGGTGCCATCCCCAGCACCACAAAAGAAGACCTTGGTCTGCACCCATCCTTCCAGAAAGACTGTGCATTCCGCTTGTAGTCAGCCTTGGAAAGCGAGAAATTGATGGAGAAATGGACGTTTGGTGAGGGTTGCGATGGAGTTCTTTCACACTGGTGTTAAGAAATGCTTATAGATCCTTTTTAAAAAAGTGATCCTGGAGCCTGGCTTCCTCCTCAAGAAGAAAACCTGATCGTTTTCATTTCCTTTGATATTGGGAGCTTGAACCCAGGGTCTTTTGCGCTGGTTTTTGTTTTTGTTTTTTTCATTTTCTTTTTTAAGCAGTCACCCAGAGCTGGCTGTTTGCACCTGGCAGCGACAGTGTGGGATTCCGTAGTTAGTTCCAGTGTGTGCATGCTTATGGCTTTCTTTGCTGTGTGCTTTGGTTTTCATTGGGATTTAAAAATAGCAATCATTGGGGCAATCAACAGTCCGTATGTAGTCAGGAATGCTTGACAGCACCGAGAGGTGGGTCTTGAAGCCAGGCTGATGATCTGGCCAGGATAGGCAAAAGCCCAACTGATCTGGGCAGCCACACGGGCTGCGTGGAGGGTCTACTCGTGGATGCCGTTGGTCGTTCTAGCCCTGTGGGGCGAAGACTAGACATCATTTGCCAGGGATACTTATTTGAAGTAGGGGGATGAGTGTGTGTGTGTAGCCACAGCCATTCAGTTATAGATTGTTTTGTCACTGGCCGTGCACCGTGGGGTGGCCAGGTCAAAGGTGGTCCCCTTTCCCGCTGGTGTTGGCTTCCTCTCCCCTGTGTTCCCAGGGGCCTGGCCACTGAGTACACGGCACAATTCCCAAGCCCCTGGCTTCTCAACGTCTCTGGATGGCTGTCCTGGCTCAGGCGTGCTGGCTGGCTGGCTGGCGGCCGGCTCTGCCCCCACGGTGACCGCTGGATTCTCTCACTTGGCAGAATCCTTTGTATAAAGGGCTTTCTGTGCGGCCACATCTTTTCAGTTCAGGAACGTTCTGGAACTGCAAGCTTTGAGAGCTGAAAGGGACCTGCTATCCCCTCAGTCTCAGTTTACGAATGGAGAGGGACACAGGGTTAGTGACCGGGCTGCGCCTCCCGCCAGCCACCTTTCTCTATTCAATAAAGTCTGTTTTGCGCACAGCTCTGTGTGTTTGTGCTCGTGTAAGCTTCCCTGTGTGCTGAAGGTCGGGGAGTGAGGCATCTGTGTTTCCCCCCCCCCCCCAAATGAAGGTGATCACTGGCATGGTGGGTGGTGGGTAAATGTCCCTGTTTGAGGACACAGCGCATCGGGGCCGAGTTCTCGGGGCCACTGAGCTACACATGAGGCTGTCTCCCATGCTGGAGGTTCAGTGGCCCAGGGCTGAGGACAGCCTGGTGTAAGTAGGGACAGGTGACAGCTAGGGAGGAGGGTGGAATAGGGGTGGGGTGGGGCGCTGCTCTGGGGAGGGGCCTTTGCACAGAAGAGTGACCTTCTCTGGTGTGTAGAAGGCTGTGCAGGAAGCTCTTGGGGACTTGTCAGATGGAGTGAGCACAGGTCCGAGTGGCAGGGGGAAGCTGGGGGTGGGGGTGGGGTAAACTAGAGGCCAGGCATAACTGGGAAATCAGCCTGGGGTGAGTTCTAGAGACTGACTTTGGGGTACTGTGCAGGCGTGAGGGGCTAAGGTGAAGGGGGAAGAGGAAGAAACAAGGAATTCAGATGGGGAGGGGAGGATTTGAACCCTCTCCAGTTCCTTCCCACCCAGCAGGCCCTGGCCCTGTGGTCAGCTTCATCCAGGCTCCTCTCCCCAGCCTTCTTCCAACACCCTGGCTGACCTCGGGCCCACAGGCGCCTCTGCTCCCCATTGCTCAATGTGTCTTGCACGGGAATGACTTGTGCTGCCTCCTGCCAGCACCTGGGAGCTGAGGGAATGAGGGGAGAGCGGCGGGGTCCTGGCCCACGAAATGCGTTGCTGCAAGTGGCTTCTTTACGAAATACACGACCCATCTGACAGGTGAACCAGTGAGGCAGAGCTCAGCAGAGGCACAGCTGGCCAGCGGCTGCCCTCACCTGGTCCACCTCGGAAATCTGCTGCTCTGGGCGCAAACAAGTGTCCTATCTACCAAGGCCCCTGGGAGATGGAGGAGGAGGGGTTTGGAAGGGGGAGAGGGGAAGCAAAGCCTGTGTGGGAAGGAGGCTGATCTGCAGGAGGGGGCAGGGAAAGGGGGGCACGGATGAGCGGTGGAGGGGGTTCCCTCACGGCCAGTGTGGGAGCTTTGGCACACTGACAGCCTGTAGCCAGCCCTCTGCTGCCCCCAGAAAGCCAACCAGGAGTGCAGCTGAGGCAGAGCACAGGAGAGGGTGAGCTGCGAGCTGGGGTTCTCTCCAAGCCCGGGAAAGCCTTGCCAATCTCTCTCCAACACCCACTCTGCCAACAGAGGAAGTGAGGGCTCATGTGGCAGAATGCTGGTCTTGAATGAGAAAGCTTAGCTCGCTAGGCCCCAGTTGAAGCCCCAGCATGCATGCACGTGCACGTGTGCGCGTGCGCACGCACACACACACACACACACACAAACACACACACACATCATGGGAATGAAAGTAGGAAATGATGAGGTCTCTTTAATGTGCCACACCTCCCAGTCCTCAGTGTCCTGGGCCTCAGGCCCCAGCTCCAAGCACAGAGGGGCTTTGGGTCCTGGACATGACATGTGAACCGTTCTGGGAGCTCTTCTCGCTGTGTGGGCTCCTTGCAGGCCTGGGAAAGATGGTGGCGGTGGGCGGGGCAGGTGGAACGCTGGCTTCTGTCCTGGTACCCAGGGTGGATCCTCTTGGTGAGGCCTGACATTCCAGGGGCTGCAGAAGCTGGGCCAAGGTCTTCTCAGGCCCAGGTCCTGGACAGGGCTGCTGCCCATGTCCCCCCTGGTCCTCTGTCCTCCCCGCTCTATGGACAGCAGCCTGAGTTCGGTCTGCCAAGGTGCACCCTGTGTGGGATCAGTGTCTTCAGCCAGCCAGCCGTGTGGCAGGCCCCTCTGAGGTCTGTGGCTCATAAGCAGAAAGGGGCTGGAAATTGGTGCGTCCAGCCATCTGGCTAACACTGCCAGGCCTCTGTCAGACTGGGGCAAGTGTTCTGGGTCACTGCAGTTGGTGTCCCTCCCTTCCCACCACCAAGTCTCCACTTTTGGTGTCAATGCAAAGAGGGAGGACCCAGATACTCTTACCATGAAGTAAAACAAACAAAACCTGTTGCCAGACTGGGGGGTAGGGGGGCCGTCTTCTTGGAGTTACTCTTTTAAGCATCTTTTTGCATGTGCCAGTACTCCACCAAGGCCATGCCCCGCCTACTGCTGTTCTCAATGTCTCTCCTGGTGCTGTTGGCATTGGAGGTGGAGACTGTTGGGAGTGGAGGTGGCTGGTGAACTAGCGGCAGGCCTAGGAGCTGGGGGCTCCGGGATTTGGCCTGGAGTGACCTCAGGTTGGTCTCTGCTAGCATCATGGGAAGAGCTCCTCACAGATCCTGCGTGTGTCCTCGGGGGCTGTGACCGTGTGGCCCACAGTTCTCGGGTCTGTGAAGATCTCGTGGTCATTGCCACCCTGCAGAGACACAAGCACGTATTGGTACATGGCTCCACACTGCCCCAGGCCTCGAGGAAGCTGGTTTGTATTGCGGTGGGCAGGAAGCGCAGAAGCGTGTCAGGACTAAGCGATTTAACCTTCCCCTGAACTGCAGATGAGCAAAGAACACATAATTATGCTTATGAAAGACATCTTGTCACTCTTGTGAAGATCTAAGAGGCTTATTTTTCTGTAAAGAAAGTGAACACAGCAAGTGACAGAATTCTCACAGCCATTGGGTGTGTTTCCTCCAGTGCTGGGACTTGTACGGGTCAGGAGGAGCGTGCTGCCAGTGGCCATCCAGTGAAGAGGCAGGGCTGCAGGCTGAGGGTGTGGTTTCAGGAGTGGGTGGGCCACAGCCCGGCTTTCAGCTGCAGAGACTCCAGTCTCTACAGTGAAGACCCCAGCGCTTTCTAGTTTGGAGGCAGGATCCTGGCGGCCCAGGCTGGCCTGGAACTCAATCCTCCTGCCTCAGTGTCTCTAAGTAGGATTAAAGCACGCTAGTGCTTTCATTTTTGTGAGATGGTGGTCAGGGAGAGCCTTGCTCTGCTGCCTGGTGTGGCGCTGGGGAAAGTGTGTCTGTGTCCTCCTCCTGCTGGTGCTGGCCCATACCACTGCGGCAGCTCTCAGTTCCCAGTTTCAGTGTGACCACAGCTTGGGATTTCAAGTCCCAATTCCCACTGTCCCTGGAGCCCTCAACCAGCCTTCCCTCTCCTCCTCCCTTCCTGACATTTACATTGGATGGTGGGGGAAGAGCGGGCTTTGAAGTGCAGAGGAGTTTACAGCACCAGGGGTCACAGCACCAGAGGCAGGGCCTCTGGGAGATGCAAGAAGCAGGTAATATTTAATTCAAGAGCCACACAGAAAGGATCCACTAACGTGCTGCAGAGTGACCCTGGCCTCTGCTGGGACACTGGCACCTGATCTTGGAGGCTCCACCCCTCTGAGGACAGAAGCCATCGCTCGTCTTGAGCTAGGGACAGACAGCCTCATCACCACCGCCTTCCCAATTCATGCCCCAACCGAACTGAACACACTGCAAAAACGTGGTCATACTTACTGGCATGGTTTTGTCTCCAAAGAAATATATGGTCTTAAAACCGTCATTTTCCAAGTGTCTCAGGCAGTACCTCTTGTCCCACCCCTCAGGAAAGACATCAAAGCTGATCTGACCTCCTGCCAGGAGGGGAGCAGACAAAGGAAAAGCCACAGTGAAAAGGATGAGGAAAGCGCTGGGGTGTGGTACCCACACCTGTAATCCTAGCCACTCAGGACACTGAAATCTGAAGATGGTCGTTGGAAGCCAGCCTGGGCAGGAAAGTTAGACTCTTATTTCCAATTAACCACCCAAAAGCCCGAAGTGCAATGCATAAGCCCTGAGCAAAAAAGCCAAGGAACAGCGCCCAAGCAAAATGGCAAAATGCAGGCAGGAAGAGTCCTGCTATGACAGGATGGAGAGCCATCCCCACAGTGTGAGCCACTTCTGAACTGGGGATGTCCTGGCCATGTAGAGAGGGGGCCAGCTCCTGACAGCCTGCACTGCCCGCCCACGTGATCTCCCAACCTGACCCATACTGAGCCCAGGGCGGCCCTCAGTAGCTCAGCCACCCCTAACAAATTCCTGGCAAGTGGATATCAAAGTGTGTGGCACATCTCCATATACTCTACCTATGGAAAACGTGAGGCCTTTCCCTGCAAACTCCTTCCGCAGGTCTGCTACAAATTTTTGTCGTATATTTTCTTTCTAAGGGAGGGGAAAAAAAGATGCATTAGTTACTGGCCACATGTGTTGCTTCCCTAAGTCCAGCTGCTCCCAGGGCATTTCAGCACCTACTTTATCCAGCTCGTAGAACTCAACTCGTTCTTCCTGGCTACAACTCCTTCCAATAGGGGATACATTCAACATCCCATTTCGGAATTCAATGAAAGTTCCCCTGGGAAGGAAAGAAAAGAGGAGCGGTCCCTCAAATTCCTACTCACTTGAGCAGCACCTCAGGTGGGAAAGCAGCTGAGCAGCTAGGCGATTTTAGATAGAAGGGGCTCAAGGGACATACAGTAGCCTTGAAATGTGGCTAATGTGCGTTGAGACCCAGGATGAAAACAAATGGAATGGGAGAGAATGCTGATCAATCACAAACTGCCCCGTCGAGAGCAAACCCCTCTGTGTAACAAAAAAAGGACTATGGTGGCTCATGCCCTTAATCCTACTCAGGAGGCAGAGATCTAAGGATCATGGTTCAAAGCCCAACCTGGGCAGGAAAGTCCCTGAGATTTTTTTTTTTTGGTTGGTCAGGGGACTTGAACTCTGGGCCTGGGCACTGTCCCTCAGCTCTTCAGTTCAAGGCGAGCGTTCTACCAGTTTTCTGGTAGTTTATTGGAGATAAGAGTCTCACAGACTTTCTTGCCAGGGCTGGCTTTGAACCATGGTCCTCAGATCTCAGCCTCCTCAGTAGCTAGGATGACAGGCGTGAGCCACTGGCACCTGGCTCCCTGAAACTCAAGCTGAAGAGCTCAGGGACAGTACCCAGGCCCAGAGTTCAAGTCCCACAACCGAGTGAGATGTGAGCTGTCTACAAAAGACAGGAATGTGCCCATGTGCTGGGAGAAGGGCTGCCATGAGGGAAGGGGGAACCAATGCCAGGTCTTTGGCTCTGCCAACAGAGGCCAGAAATCCAGACATTCTGAAATGGGAAATTAGACTAAGTGGTTAATTCTGATTGTATCTGATGCTAGGGGCCTCCAGCTAGAATCTTCCATATGTGGAATCTCGTTGCTCTTTTTACAAGCTCTTTCACAGGTGCTTCACCTCACTAACAGCCTCTGATAGTGCACCATTTCCCACGGCTGAGCCACTGGACATAGCATCCTATGCTTACACTACTGGCCTTACAGACTGTTTCCAACTTTTTTTCCTTTCTTTGGAGATTCTCCTACCTCTGCCTCCTGAGTGCTGGGATTATAGGCATGCAACACCCCTCCTGGCTTTCCATTTCTTCTTCTTAAGTGCTGGGTTCTGGGTATAAATGAAACCGAGTCTACCAAATGACATTGTTCCACGTTCCAGTAGAGCCTCTGGGCTCAGAGCAAACTCACCTTTTCTTCGGGAGTTTAATTTTTGCTATGTAGCTCAGGCAGTAGTTGATTACGTCTTGGATTAGGGCCTCACCCAGATGACCTTGGATATTCTACACAGAGAAAACACTGGAGTTACTTTATTAAGCAGGAAGTGTTTTCAACCAGCTTTCCAGTAAACCAGTTCTTCAACCTCTGCTTCTGGAAAGCCACAGGCTGCTGCAGCCAGGCTGGCAGCAGTGCCAGCGTCACCCCACTGCATTTTTACCTCTCCCAAGCCACAAAGGCTTTGCTCAAAACCATTTTCTGCCTCATTACTCAAGAGTTTTCTGTTCGTTGCCTTGCAAACGCTTCCTGGAAGGTCTAGAGAGCTTACTGCTGTTGCTTTTATTCAATTAAAACATGGCCAGATAATGATAGAGATTGTATTTGTTCCACTTTAGCTTTTTCTTCTGTGAGAGCTACAACTACCTCTTAGAGCTGCTTTCAATAGGCCGCCAGGCCTTGTTTTTGCTGTCATGATAAATATTAGACAGAAACACTCTCCAAAACCAATGATACAAGATCACTGACCAATCCAGAGTAGTATTATAATAGCCTGTCTCATGGTTCAAAACTTCGTATTTTAACAGTTATACAGTTTAGATTCCCTCCCTCCCATCCCCCAGCTCCCTGGCATCTCCCCGGAGACATCCAATGTTAAATACCCTTTTAGACAACATTTTTATGGTAGGATATAGTAGATCATTTACTGAAGAACCTACCTGTTTACACAAGAATTTCCCATCTTTGTAGGCCACCAAGCCATTTTCTGAGAACACATAATCATATTTCTCAACCACTACAATCAAAACAAAAGACAACTCAGAATGCAATATAAACACCTACATTTCCATTTTGATTAACCCCCAGCACCAATAAAGCAGCTGCACTCCAGGAAGAACCACGAAGGACAAGTTCATCTTAGCACACAGTGTGTGGCGCAGGGCTCCTGGCATTTAGATCTGAAGGATGAAGACCGGCTTGGAGGTGGGAGGGTGGCTGGGGGTTCTGGGTCCCTGCCTTCAGCCGGCCTGCCTGTGAGGAGTGGCTGGCTCCTCACAGCTCCTCAGCCCCACCATGGACCAGCAGCAGTGCCATCATGCTTTCTACACCAGAAATTGGTGGGGGACAGGCTGAGAATCACAACTTTTTTTTTTTTAAGGTGAGGCTTGTAATCAAGTCTGACATGGAAACTACCACATCCTTCAGGCACTTGTTAAAATGCAGATTTCCGGGCCCAGCGCCACTTGGCTGCATCTCTGTGTTGGTGGGCACGCACACTTGAAATTTAACAAAGTAACTGACTGATGCACGTGGCTTTAGGCTGTTGTCTAGATGTGTGCTTTGCCTTTGCTGTTTCACATTCTCTGGAGAGCACAGACACTCTTCTATCCCTGACCACGTATTAAATACACCACCAAAAGCAGGAAGCACAATCACCACCAGACAACAGGATATCTGGGGCTTAATGCAGCCATTAAGTCATTCATAGCATTTCCAAACAGCATCTACAAGGAAATTAGGTGTAAGTGGAACAGAAAGCTTTAAAGGGACTGCATGAATTACTTTTCCAGAAGCCAGGATCCAGTAAGCTCAGTCTACACAAATTTGTACTCCTTAAGATATGACATGCAGAACAGTCCTTCCCCAGACTGTCTCAGGGGACGTGGGTAAAGCTGCCTTTGCGTGTACTCTACTGGCATCTAGTGGGTAGAGGTCAAGGACAGTGCTCAATACTCAGGCCAACCCCATAGCAGAGAATTACGCAGCTCACGATACCAATAATGTCAGGGCTGAGAAACTGTGTTCCAGAGGAGTTGGTTCCAACTCTGGCAAGAAGGGTGTGGTTCTTGTTTTGTTCTGTACAGAAGATACTCTTGCCTCAAGCCTTTTGAGTGTGTGAGTGTGTGTGTGTGTGTGTGTGTGTGTGGCGTGTGTGCACTGCCCAGCATGACAAGGGGTTTTAAAGAACTATTTGTCCATCTTCCCACCCACCATCTCTCAGAGGCCAGCATCCCAAAGGTATCTGCAGAGACCAGTCCTGGGGTTCATGGCCCACAAAACCAGAGTTCCTCGAAATCAGAGAGCCCCATTGGCAGCTGTGCCCAAAAATCTCTGAGGGTATTTGCTACAACACAGTTCCTAGGTCCCATAGATCTACTGAATCAGAATCTGCAGGGAAGGAGCCAATAAAACTTTCTGGGTTTAGTACATGTGAAGAGCCTGGTGACTCTCATCTCCTATGACTGGGAAACTCAGGGAACTCTAGGTTAGGACAACAGCGGGGAGGAACCTAGGCCCAGAGGGTACCCCATCTGGGTAAAGACAGCCTGACATGGGGTCAGGCTGAGGCTGCAGGGCAAGGATAGGGGACGAGCAAGCAGTCCAGGTAGAAAGATTTCTGTGTGCAATCTACCCATGAAGGGTCCATCAATGACTCCAGGACTTACAGGATTAAAAGCAAAGGAGGGCAAAGGCAGAGAACACTCTTTCCTCAAGGAAGCAGAAAGGTTGGCTTACGGGGAGGGCAGCAGATTGTACTTGAGACAGGGCCCAGTATCCTCAGGAGAAGTTAATCTTTGACAAAATGCAATTAGCAATGGATTGGTTACCATCGTTTCCCAGCTGCTCTTGCACTTTCTCAAAGTCCGACCCGCCTACCACTCCGATTTTCGTCTTCTGCCTCAATTTTTGTAGAAAGTCATCCATTTCCTTCGTAATTTTCTACATTTCAAGGAGGAACATGTAACAGTCATGAGCCATAAAATAACCCAACTCCTATTTTTATACATAGCCAGTTAAGTTACCAGGTCTGTAGTTTTCTATATATACTCAGGCATGTGAGTTATAATTTTGTCTATGAAGTTTGTACTGGAATAAACTCGTAAAATTTTACATACATTTACCCAAACTTAAACACATAGGAATTTATGAGTAGTTGTGTGTTGCTCTAGCTTTTTGCTGTTGTTTAGACATGGGGGGTGGGGAGGGGTCTTGCAATGTTGCCCAAGCTGATTTTGAATTCCTGGGTTTAAGAGATCCTCTTGTCTCAGTCTCCTGGGTAGCTGGTATTACAAGTTGTATGCAGGATACTATCAGTTATGTTTGCTTATTTAGTTTTGTTTTGAGACAGGATCTTACTATGTAACCTTGGAATATAGCAACATCTGTTTGTGTACAAGATATCTATGGCTTCAAAGCAGAGAAGAGCAGTTGTGACAGGTCGTGTGCTCTGCGGAGTCTCCCAATATTCACTGTCTGATGGTAAGCTATTAGGTGTGGTTACAGATTATAAAGTCTTGGTTCTTAAGGAATGCAAGCGAAGATATTAAGGGAGATACACTAAGATGACCACTGTCTAGAAGGGTAGAGATAAAGTTAACATGATGACGTGTCAACTATTTTTACATATGGGATATAGTTATTCTGTGTATTTCTCTTCAATGATTCATGGTTCATCAAAAAAAAAATTTAATGCTCTGAAGAAAGAGAATGATTCATGTGGGTTTATAGGCCCTTCTTTTTGAAAGCTTTTGTTCTAAGTCTCAATTGTTTTAGATGGAATGGCACTTTAAGCAAAGTACTTAGCACGGAAAAACCTCCTACTGAAACCGTGATTCGTGCAACTCTTTTATTAGAGTTCATGTGAACTAGATTTAACCTGTGTCGATCATATCCTGTTATAACAGCAATAAAAGACATCCTGTTCTTTCTCTTTCAAATTGCATCGTGCTTATCAAATATTTGAGAATATACATATGTCAGGGGAAAAGGCCGTGTAAGATCTATGCTATTTTGTTACCTGTAGTTCCCAGCCCATAGAAAAAATACCTTCTAAATGATAGATTTTTTTTTTTTCTGAATGTAAAAATTATTTATCTTCACAGCAAAGAAAAATAATGTTTCAAGGGAACATATTCTGGGGCACTTGGCTTCTTTGTGAATTGCACTTTATGCTTAAGATATCCTGATGCTTTCTGGGCACCAACACTAAACTAACAGCATACCCAGCATCTGGAAATTTCAACCTTGACAAATAATGCTTTTGAGGCCCAGGAAATTCCTTTAGGTCTGCTTTGTGAATTCAATGTCAGGGACTTGAAATTGGGTTCCAGTTTCCTTATTATTTTTTCTACCTGTCCTGAGGCTTGAACTCAGGGTCTGGGCCCCGTCTGAGCTTTTTTGCTCAAGGATAGCAGCACTCTATCACTCTGAGCCACAGGTCCACTTCCGCTTTTTTTTTTCCTTGTTTGTTTTTGAGTGGGTAATTGGAGAAAAGAGTCTCATGGAGACTTTTCTGTCTGGACTGGCTTTGAACCCTGATCCTCAGATCTCAGCCTTCTGAGTAGCTAGGAATAGACACGTGAACCACTGGCACCCGGCTTTTGAAATACTAATAAAAAACTACCCTACCTAGGATGAAAGACGGAGGGAGATAAGGAGTCCCACACTGGGTAAAAAAGGATTGGGGGGGGGGGGGGCTGGGAAGGTGGCTCAATGGTAGAGTGCTTGCCTTGCATGCCTGAGGCCCTGGGTTCGATTCCTCAGCACCACATAAGCAAAAAGAAAAAAGCCGGAAGTGGTGCTGTAACTCAAGTGGTAGAGCGCTAGCCTTGAGCTGAAGAGCTGAGGGACAGCGCCCAGGCCCAGAGTTCAGGCCCCACGACCAGACCCAAAAAAAGAAAAAAAAAAAAAAAAAAAAGGATTAGAGGGAGAGGACGTGGGCATGTGCTAATACCGCCTAGGTTCAATTCTTAATATACTGTAGGCCAAATTAGGCGGCTGTTTTTTGTTTTTTAATATGGAAAGCTTCATGAATGTGTCTTCTCTGTATCTTTCCAATTTTAGTATATGTGCTGCTGCAGCAAGCACATGGCAGCTGTTTTTATAACCAAGTTTTATTGGAACACATGCAGTCTAAGTTTTGCACTGATGTGGGGCAGTTACTACAGGCCATACAGTCTGCCAAGACAAAAATATTTACTATGCATAGTCCTTTACAAAAAAAGACTAAGAGGGGCTGGGAAGGTGGCTCAGTGGTAGAGTGCTTGCCTTGCATGCATGAGGCCCTGGGTTCAATTCCTCAGCACCACATAAGCAGAAAAAGATGGAAGTGGCACTGTGGCTCAAGTGGTAGAGTGCTAGCCTTGAGCTGAAGAGCTGAAGTGCCTAGGCCCAGAGTTCAGGCCCACGACCGAGAAAGAAAAAAAAAAAAAAAAAAGACTAAAAGCCAGATGCTGGTGGCTCATGCTTGTAATCCTAGCTATCCAGGAGGTTGAGATCTGAGGATTGAGGTTCAAAGCCAGCCCCGTCAGGAAAGTGCGTGAAACTCTTATCTCCAATAAACCACCAGAAAACTGAAAGTGGCGCTATGGTTCAAATAGTAGAGCGCTAGCCTTGAGCCGAAGAGCCGAGGGATAGTGCCCAGGCCCAGAGTTCAGGCCCCACGACTGGACCCCTCCCCCCCCCCAAAAAAAAAAAAAAAAAAGAAAGAACTGCTGTGACCAGATCTAGATTACTAGACCCTTGCAACAATTCACAAGTGTATGTTGATCACTGAATCTCAGGGGTTAGAAATTTCGGCCCTTGGGGGGGGGGGGGCGGGTACACTTACGGACACACACACACACACACACACACACACACGACGTGGCTTTCTAGAGGACACTTCACCAAAGGGGGTGAGATAGGAGTGGAGGCTAATGAGGCTATTTGGGTCCAGGCTCAAGTCTTAAAAAGCCTCTTGTTCGGCGACCAGTTTGTGCAAAAGAGATGAAAAGAGCCCCGTGGCAAAGCTGCATTAACGGCCGGTGGGAAGCCCGGTGGGCGGGAGGTGCTCCGTGGGTCGCCTGTCAGGCCCGAGGGCGGAGGCTGCGGGAAGTGGCTGCTCTTTACTGATCCCCGAGTTCGAATCCGCACGGACAGGATTCCACCAGACCCTCGGGACGCCCTGGGGCGCGGGCGCGGCCCCCACGGCGCGCTGAAGCTGTGGCGATTCCCCGAGGGGAACTGCGGGGCTCAGGGCTAACCACGGCGCGGACCCGAGACCGGACCCGGACCGGGACCCTCCGTCCCGGGCCACGCCGCCCGGCTCGGCTGGGGGGCCCGGGCCGGCTGCACCCGACACAAGCTTCCGCCCCCGTTTCCCCGGGGCGGTGGTGGGCCTCCCGGGCGCCGCCTACCTGCCGCGGGGCCGTCAGGGTCCCATCCACGTCGAAGAGGCAGAGCGCGGGACCCGACGCCGCCATCTCCACGACCTCCGGGCGCTACTTGACAGGACGCGCTGGCGGCTGGAACTCAAACCGGAACTCGAACCGGAATTTCCGGGTCCGCCCACCGCCGCAAGGCATGTTGGGAAAGGAGACTCCCGCAGCGACCGCACTGCCTCGGGGCTCACGTCCACCACGGTCTTTGGACTACGAATCCCAAGATGCAACGGGCGCCAGACGCAACGCCTACGTGTGCGCATGCGCCATCAGTAGTTGGCCCGAGTAGGCGGAGACACGTGGGACTTCCTTCCGGTGACGGGCCATGGTAAGAAGTTATTTACTAATACGGAGTTTGTTTCTGAATGGTGGGCTGTAGTTTCGCGTGCTTCACAGCTAGGGAGCCTCCCACTAGACATTTGTTGGATGTATGAGTTACTCTACACCTTTTCTTAGTTGTTTTCTTTCTTCAGGGCCTGGGCGCTGTCCCTGAGCTTTTTGCTCAAGGCCAGCTCTCTACCACTGGAGCCACAGCGCCACTTCCGGCTTTGTGTGTGTGTGTGGGGGGGGGGGGGTACTGAGGAATCGAACCCAGCTTCATGCGTGCTAGGCAAGCACTCTACCACTGAGCCACCTTCCCAGTCCGTGTTCTTGAGACAGCGTCTCTGTGTACAGTGTAGGCTGCCTCGAGCTCCCAGTCCTACCTCAGCCTCCCTACTGCCTGGATATCATCAAGTGTGTGCCAGCCTGGTTACACCTTTCCTGTGTGTGTGTGTGTGTGTGTGTGTGTGTGTTTTAAACTTGGAACTGTCTAAGAGACTCAGTGGATCAGTTTGAGACTCCTCTCCACTGCCTTGATTCTGGCTTTCCTTGGGATAAATTCCTTCCAGCCTCTGAGCTGCTCAGTTAAGTGGTAAAATGGATGTAGCGATGTCTGCCCAGAATCCTATTTATTTATTTTGCCAGTTATGGTGCCTGAACTCTGGGCCTGGGTGCTGCTCTTCAGCTCAAGGCTAGTGCTCTACCACTTGAGCCACAGCACCACTTCCAGCCTTTTCTGCTTATGTGGTGCTGAGGAATCGAACCCAGGGCCTCATGCATGCAAGGCAAGCACTCTACCACTGAGCCACCTTCCCAGCCCCCCCCCCTGCAGAATCCTATTTATGAAGCATACAGGACAGGAAGCACGTGGCTGGCTTTATCTTTCTCTCCTTCTCAGGCAATCATGATGACTTTACTAGGTCAGCAAAGGGTTGCTTCTGCAGATGATCATTGCGTTATTAGTGCGGTTGAGTTCCACGAGAGAAATGTCTCCTCTCGCCCATCCAGGCTGCCCTCCTCCGAGCCCCGCTGATGCTGCGGGGACCCGCTGCTGCTGCTGCTGCCTGGTCAAGGGCCCTCCGTGCGCTCTGGTGCTATGATCCACAGGGCAATCCCAGGAGGGGTGTGGGCAGCAGGCCACCCACCTCAGCAGAGAAACCGCCAGGCCTGGAGTCTGAGAAATTCCAGATGGTCTACCGTTTCAACTCCATCAGAGCCTGTGGGTACATGTCTCGGCTGAAGCTGGCCCAGACCGCCCTGACAGTGGCGGCGCTGCCCCCGTCCTTGTACTGGCACTCACAGGGCCTCATAACGCACACCTCCATGTGCTTGGCGTTTGGGGTCGCTGGCTTCGCCCTGACCATGCTCTACTGGATGAGCTATTTCTTCCGGAGGCTGGTGGGTATCCTGTATGTGAATGAGTCTGGCACCGTACTGCGGGTGGCCCACCTGACCTTCTGGGGCTGGCGGCAGGATACATACTGTCCTGTGGAGGATGTGGTCCCCCTGACAGAGACCCCGGACCGGCCCCAGGATCTGTTCATACGCATCCAGCAGTACAGCGGGAAGCAGACCTTCTACCTCACCCTGCGCTACGGACAAGTCCTGGACAGAGAGCGATTCTCACAGGTGTTTGGGACACCGGCCAAACTCAAGTGAACAACATGGGGGTGGGGGTGGGGCTCTAGGTCTCTGGGGCCTTGCCCTGGGCTTCTTGGATCTCTGACAAGGCTGATACAGGGGGTCTTGGGACTCATCTTGAGATGAAGAAATTTACAAGGCTTAGGGAAAGGCCCTTGCAAGGAGTGTGGGGGGTGGGGGGGTCGAGTCTTAAACACACCTGCCCACAGCATGATCAGGCAATGTCCAGAAGTTCCTGTGAAGTAGTTGGAGGAGGAAGGGAGGCCAAGTTCACTTCACTGATAGCCTGCTACCAAGAAAATAAAGGCTGAGGTGTGGAGGCAGAATCTGGAGTCAGGAGACTTCAGAGACTGAGTCAGAGGCTCCTTGGACTGGGGCAGGGCCTGCCTGCCTGCCTGCCTGCCTGCCTGTCTTCCTTCCTTCCTTCCCTCCTTCCTTCCTTCCTTCCTCCCTCCCTTCTTCTCTCTCTCCTCCCTTCCTCCCTCCCTCCCTCCCTTGCTCCCTTCTTCCCTTCCTTCCTTTTTTTCCTTCCCTCTTTTCTTCCCTTCCCTCCCTTCCCTTCATACCTTTCCTTTCCTCCCTCTCTCATTCCTTCCTTGGCTTTAACTCAGAGCCATGCACTCTTGCTTTTATTTTGCAATTAAGGCTGATGCTCCACCACTTGGGCCATACCTCTACTTCTGGCTTTTTGCCAGTTAATTGGACTTTTCTGTCTTGGCCTTGCTTTGAACCACAATTCTCAGATCTCAGCCTCCTGAGTTGCTAGGATTACAGATGTGTACCACCAGTACCTGGCTTGAGTGTTGTTTTTCACCTCTGTAGATGCTTGGCTCATGGTAGTGTAGCTCAGTGGTATGGGACCTTTGCTCAGCACCCAAGAGATCCTGACTTCCATCCCCAGCACCACAAAGCAGACAAACAATGAATGCCACATGCTTTGCAGACCAAAAGCCTTAGCAAACCCTGAGCCTTTGGCCCGAGGTTATGGCATGGAGGGAGGTATTCTGGTGGTCAGTGAGGATTTGCAGCGCGCTGGGCTGGGCACCACATGGTGCCAGCAGCAGAAGGGACTGGAGGGAAGCCAGAGTGTGTTTGTTACATGGGTCAGGATCTTACTGCTTTCCGACTGGGGCAGTGATACCATTCACAGGAATCCCAAACCCCAGCCGAAAGTCTGGGGTCCAAGTACTGTTGCATGTCTTATGAATGAAAGACAGTCACGCACACTTCCCCATACGTGCTGACTGTACAGTTTGTACCAGGGTAAAGAGAAGACCTGATCTTTCTAATTTTGTCATTCAAAAGTTGACAAGTAAATATTTCATGTGTAACCTTCCAGCCTTTTTTTATTATAATAATATTATAATGTTCTTTTAACATTTTAAAACGGACAGTTCAAGGACACGGAGCACATGAAGAGTGTTGTACCGCCATTACACAATCCATTTCTAAAACTTTCCCATCCTCCAAACAGATCTGCCCGTCTAACAGTGCTCTCTCCACCCCCCAGCGCTGGGCGGCCATCGATCTGCTTTCTGGTTGTGTTTGCTGAACTGCATTCTCCTGTTCCTGCGTTCCTTTCTGTGTTTGGTTCCTTTCTGTGTTTGAGCAACTGGTGCCTGGTGAAAAAGTGATGTTTTACAGTAATCACAGTAACATGAAAGATGCTACATTGTCTTCCTTAATTTACTTCACTTCAGAGAAGTGAAGAAAGCATATAAATCATGGCAGTTCGTTCCTGCGACTTCCAAGTCACTCAGTGATGCTGCCTAAACCCCAAGAACATCTGCCCCTTGCCTGGCACTGGTTAAAAAAAAAAAGGTGCCAGTGACTCACGCCTGTCAACCTAGCTACTCAGGAGGCTGAGATCTGAGGATCAAGGTTCAAAGCCAGCCCAAGCAGGAAAGTCCGTGAGACTCTTATCTCCCATAAAGCACTAAAAAACCGGAAGTGGTGCTGTGGCTCAAGTAGTAGAGCGCTTGCCTTGAGCTGAAGAGCTGAGGGACAGTGCCCAGGCCCTGAGTTCAAGCCGTACAACCATTAAAAAAAAGTTCTATCCAGGTGCTAGTGGCTCCTACTTGTAATCCTAGTTACTCAGGAGGCTGAGATCTGAGGATCATGCTTTGAAGCCAACCCAGGCAGAAACATCATGAGACTCGTCTCTGATCACACAAAGCCAGAAGTGGAGCTGTGATTCAAGTGGTAGAGCACTAGCCTTGAGCAGAAGAAGCTTAGGTACAGAGCCCAGGCCCTGAGTTCAAGCCTCAGGACTGGCCTGTGTGTGTGTGTGTGTATGTGTGTGTGTGTGTAGCTTTCACTGATTGTCTTTGGCAGAGGTGGGGAGTGGGGTGGAGGCTGTTGAATAAATTTGTGTAATTACAGGGCAGAGACTGAGGCAGAGTGGAGGGACAGACAGGACAGGCCCAGTGGGAGGGATAGGAAGCCACTGACCCAACGTGGAAGCAGGATGAGGTCACCAGAGGAGCCAATGTGTTTTTTTCTGTGCTCGATAAGAACTTGGCTCAGCTGTTAAGACCAGGACCTTGAATCGTATCCTAATCACAAAGGGAAGCCTTGGAAAGTTGGAGAAAACTGAAAGACAGTTTTGAGACTTTTTTTTTTCTTCACGGACTTGAACTCAGGGCCTGAGTGCCAGTCCCTCAAGCACTCAAGGCTGGTGCTCTACCACTTTGAGCCACAGCTTAGTTTTCTGGTAGTTAATTGGAGATAAGGGTCTCACAGACTTTCCTGCCTGCGCTGGCTTTGAACTGCAACCCTTAGATCTCAGCCTCCTGAGTAGCTAGGATGACAGACGTGAGCCACCAGCGCCTAGCTTAGTTTTGAGACTTTTTAAGAATGAGAAGAAACAGTTTTTCAAGTTTACTCATTTTGAGTTCAAGATCTATCAACAAGAAAGCCAGGCATGGTGGTTCACACTGTAATCCCAGCTTTGGGAGGCTTCCCTAAGAGCCTAGTCCAAACCCAAGTGCTGCCAGAGACTCTGGGCCAGGCAGTCAGAGTGGCTCAGGCCTGTAATTGCAGCCACTTGGAAAGCAGAGCTTGATTGGGAGGATCGCAGATTGAAGTTCAAGGCTGGCTGGTTCAAAGCCAGCCTGGGAAGAAAAGTTTGTGAGACTCATCTCTA